GGTGTGATCAGTAAAACTGGTACTGGAAAACTGAACCATGCTATTCACACTAGTACTGTAGATTCTGTTTAGCATTGCAGAAGTCAAACAAACTATTGACACAATTGTTGTATGATGATGATGATGTTAGTGGTATTTTTGCACAAAGGATGACAGAACTGTTAGTTAATCAACCAATTATCTTTATTTCACTCTGGACAAATCCATAAGCGCTTGGATCCCATCTTCAGTATGTCCCCCAGCATGTGGCAACTAATAACAGCAGTTCTGGCTTGGTTTACAATTCTTCTTTGGCTACCTGGTTAGTATTCATGTCTGGAAATACCTATTTGACGAGAAATTCTTGTAGTCTTCTTAATGTTGCTGATTCACTGCTGCCTCGGGAGTCACCCACAAAAGACTGTTAGTTCCCATACTCAGTGAACTTTCATTTAAATGTTATAAGAAACTTTTCTTGTAAAAATTAGATGATGAATTTACATTGAAAAACATTTCAAAGCAGCTAAATACAGCAATAGCGGACAGTCATACAGTAATACTTGTAAATGAAATACAACCTAGTTTTACTAGTACAAACAACTAAATGATAGGGAAGAGAAAGACTAAAAAGTTACAACATAATGACAACATAGGACAGTTTTTATTATACAGTTTAAAGCTAAGTCCACTTCATCTTATTATTTAGACAACTATAAATTAAAAGTATTATGTACATACACAGTAGTCACATACAACATACAAACAAATAGTTAACACAGAAAATATTGCACAGTTATCTATAAATATTTCATTACCATCCCAAACAAATTATACAGACAAATTAACATGTTATGATCAATACAAAAGTAGAATAATATTGACAATATTAAGAACAAAATTGCTAGAAATGATAACAAAAGAGATTTCATAAGTTTGTATTCTACCTTTGCATTATACACACACAAAAAACATCTTTCTATAATACGGCTGAGTTTGAGCAATTCAACTACCATTATCATCATTCTCATTACCATCTTGTTGTGCAATTAAATGACACATCAAGTCAGTATGTTTCTCCATTGGGCTCTGTCTTGTGCAATCCTTTTGATATCATGGATGGAATCCAGTTCAGCGCCTTCACTTCCTCTAATCAACATTCATTTTAGGGTTTCTTTAGAGGTCTCCATGTCCTCAGTTAATTTGTTTCCCAATTCAGTGCCTGTTTGGTAATTATATACTTGATTCTTCTCAGGATGTGTCCAATGTAGCATCATCTTTTTTTTTGGGTCTCATAACTGTTGATAACACTAGTTGTTTAGACATGTCTCTTATTTGAGTCATTGTGCAGCCTTATTATCTTTCTTAACTAAATGTCAACTAACTATTATGTTTTTATATTTTTTTATTCTCTATTATAATTACAAAACAGGGAATTGAACTCAGGCCTTGTATCCAACACATGGTTGTGTTGTATGATTTGTCACAGAGAATGGGAAAACAGAGCTGGTATATTATGAAATCCCCCACCAGAAACAATTAATGACTTTTCTGTTCACATGTTTTCTTCATCTATATCATGACAGCATTTGAGGATCACATTAAATGTGTATGTAGTTAAGGTTTATTATTACACATGATCTTCAGTGTAAAATAACTGTTTTTTATTCCAATATTTCTGTTGTTTGCCTCTTTCCATAAAATATAGACTACATGCTGATACTCACTTCATTGACTAAAATCTCCACAACATAGACCTGACAGGTTGCCTTGCATTTTAGATTTATTAAATATGTTAGCTTGGCATCGGTGGTGCTGGCATTATGAATGCAGTTTTCATAAGTACGAGAATTAAAATATCTAGGAAGCATATTAATGGAGGATGGCAGACTCGAAAGAGAGATAGAAGGAGTATAAAAGGTAAATGCTGTCACCTACCAGTTATCCTCACTGCTAAGAGACCCAAATGTCTCTCTTCCAGCAAAACAGCGAATGATTAAAAAGCATCTTTATCCCTATTTTATGTTATCAGTGCCAAACATGGACAATGAATAGGGCACTAGAATAGAAAATAACTACATATTAATGCGCTATCTCTGCAAGATCACTAACAACACTGTACGAGACAGGGTTATAAATGCTAGCATTAGAGAGAAAGTTGGAATAAGACCATGTCTGGATTATATTGACAGACAAAAAATGAAATGGTTCGGCCATCTAGTAATAATGCAGACATACCAGACTACATATGAGACTTTTTACAGTATAACATCTGGGAGGAAGTCAAAGGGAAGACCAAGAAAGAGATGGATAAATAGTGAAGAGGAAACCTGCAAAAGGTTGAACAAAGCTGTCACTAAAGCCACTGAGAAGCATAAGACAAATACAGAAAACCACCACCTGGTATCAGTGAGACGACAAAAAAAGACAAAAGAAGAAGACATCATGTGTGGACCTGACAGATTTAAAAGCCTCCTGACACGGGTTGTCAAACAATTAATTGTTGTTGTCTTGATAGGACCAGACCAGAGAATTTTGTCAGCCTTATTCGGTCTACAAACCGGGTGTCTGTCCATGAGCTGGTTGTCTGTCTTACAAACCGGGTGTCTGTCCACAAGCTAGGTGTCTGCCCACAAGCAGGTTGTCTTTCTACAAACCGGGTGTCTGTCTATGAGCCTGGTGTGTACCTCATCACTGCTTTATATTTTACATTTATTCTGATTTTGTTAAAGCAAACATTTTCTATTATCATGGAATACTGGCGCTGCACAGCGCACAAGAAATACAACATCAGTTCAACACTGCTGCGAGAGAACAGTGCAAACTGTGATCCTAAATATTCAATGTACAACAGAAAAATGAGATCATTTGTAAGTAAAGAGAAAATATTTGACATTTCACATCAGTAATTATTTGAGATCATCTTATGTATTTGAGTCGCAGGTGAAAACAAGAGGTCATTGAACAGAAGGAATAACACTGTTTTGAAAATAACTGTTTTGGCTGATCAGGCGCCTATGACATGCATGGACTCATGTTTTACTGAGAGAGAACTGAAATCAAAATTTTTTGATTTTCTCCTTATATTTTCTATTGTTGGCTTGCTAGTTATTCCATTTCTATCCTAAAATGTTTATTTGTAAATGTGTGTGTGCATGTCCTGGGCAGAACAGCCAAACACACGTACTGGGAAATCTGGAGAGTCAAGCTGCTGGCAGGGTATTGAGCACCTTCACAGAGACAACGGGAGGGGGGTAGGGCTTACACCTTCTCTGTCTGTCCCAAGTAATTTCTTCTAGGGTCCTGGGAGGGGCTTCCCCATGTTTAAATGTATAATAATAATAAAAATTTCAATTTTTTAAATTTTTTATTAGGGTGCAGTGAAATAATAATACAACCCTTTTGTTTCCCGCTCGGTAGTTTTCTAGGGTTGGGAAGGGGCGGCGTTAGCTCCAGTCTTGTTTACATGCACAGTAATAATAATATACACTTGAAAAAATTGAAAGGATGAACTTTTAGTCATCCCTAAAACTATTTGGGGGATTAGGTTCTGGGGGGGGGGGGAGATGCTGATTAGTCTAATAATACAGGCATTAAAACCAAGTCTTTTACTCACTTTAGTGGGGTTGTATGATTAGGGAAATCTGTTGGCTTCTGTCCTTGGATGCTAAGTTACACAGCAATCTTCTAGAAGGCTTAGCAACTGATACACAGCAATCTTCCCCAAGCCCCTTGTACACAGCAATCTTCTAGAATCTTTTTGCTTCTGTCCTCTAGAAGCTTTCCTCTGATACACAGCAATCTTCTAGAAGTTTTCCTCTGATACACAGCAATCTTCTAGAAGTTTTCCTCTGATACCCTGGTGGGTATAGATATCTTGTGGTCTTAACAAATGCCCTCATCCAACATCATTATCAAGTGTAAGCTGCCATGTTTAGCAATCTCACATGATTGCCAGAATCAAGAATCAGGTCACTGCTGCCGTCTCACGTCATCCATATGACCAAGTCGTCCAGGTATTTATCTCTCTGCCTTGGCCTATATATTGTTCCATCAATCTTGTCACCAAGTTCTCGCGTCCATTCCTTCTCATAGCATGTTTGTAGGATACTGATGTACCTAAAAGCGGCTTAAGTTTTTCCTCTTCTGTCTGTGAGTACAGTCACCAGCCAATCCCATTATTTTGTAGAGTCACACTCACACTATCTGCAGTTCTGAACCAAAGGAGATAAGCTGCCTCACAGGCGAGTGTCTGCAGGTGAGCGATGAAAGCAAAGTTTTCAATGTAATCAAATTAGAAGCAGTAAAAATGGAGTCAACAAACATGACATGATATGGCATAGAGTCTTTCTAGTGAGTCCCAACTAACATGTGAGGTGTTTTTTTAGTTTGCAAATGAAACGTTTTCTGTTGTTAAAATCATTCTTTAGCCTTTACTTTGTTCTTATTCGATAAAAGTCAAAATATTTTTAATGCAGTGTATTTTTTTTAAACACTGTATAAAACTGCAGATTTATTTGCAGTGAATCCCTCTGGGAATGAAAGAATGAACTAAACTTTGGTCGCACACACACACACAACAACAAAAATTAAAATTTTTTTTTGAAAACGAAAATAAACACAATGCCAACAATATATTCCTGAAAATATTCATGACTAACGTGGCATTAAAGAATCACAAGAAAATGAAAGAAAGAGATGAAGGCAAGTAAGCTTTAAAGATGACAAGCAACAGATGTAGCTAAATTATGAGAATGCTTGAAAACAGGATCATGGAAGCAGTACATGAAATGATTTGCCAGCTTCAAACAGATGTAGCTAAATTATGAGAATGCTTGAAAACAGGATCATGGAAGCAGTACATGAAATGATTTGCCAGCTTCAAACAGATGTAGCTAAATTATGAGAATGCTTGAAAACAGGATCATGGAAGCAGTACATGAAATGATTTGCCAGCTTCAAATGGATGTAGTGCTGATGCTTAGAAAATTATAGCAAATATGTTTTGTCCAGAACAGACAGATTTAAACAATTTCATTGATCAGTTCTGAAGATGCTTTGTCCCCTTTAGCCATTTCCAACTCTATGTCATCCTCCATGCCGGCATCCACTTTATCATCTATGCAAGCCATTTCAAGACTGTTGATGCTCTTCTCTACGTCCTTGTCTTCGACCATGTCAGGTTTGGTTATCACCTGGATGACACTTTTCTTTTGCTTGTCTGTATCCTGAAGTTTGTTGAGGACTTTGTAAATCGGTGGTGGTGGTGGAGGAGGGCTGGTCATCGGAGCTTTGGAGATTCCACTGTCCATGTTCAAGGGCTGTCTAGCTTTGTTGTCAGGATCCTTCTGTTTCAAGATAAAACAAAAAAAGTTGAATGTTTTATATAATTTTTCTAACATTTTTTTGAATTTTAAATAGCACAAATTAAAAGTGTTTATATATTATATTTAGTTCTCATTATTCTTCTTCTTCTTCTTCGGCTGTAAATTCTGAGAGAAAGATCTGTGTTCCTCCTCCTCTGGACTTAAGTCTTGTTCCAGAATCTGAGTGCTGCGTGACCATCTATTTTACACGTGTGACCTATTGATGGGCAGACTTTTGGTTTCTTGGCTCTCAAGAAGAGTCTCTCTGTCTTTAAAAGATGCCCCAATTAGTTGACTCCTATGACATGTTTGTTGGGGAGGCAGTCTATTCATATTTTTCCCACAATGGGCCCCGGAACCCATTTTACAACTTCTCATTACTGTATAGTGCAGAAACATAGACAGTGAATAAAGAATGTGTAGATATCAGAAGAGTGGCAATATACAAAATTAAGACCAAGGATTGTAATCCTAACAAAGTTTATTGAGAGAAACAAACAGGCATAGTTTAAAGTTAAAATCAACATATACCTACAGAAATGAAGAATCATTATGCAGTTTATGTCTAGCTCACAGTACCATACAGCTTTTAAACAAGCAAATAAGATGAATTGACTCAAAAGCTTTTGAGATGTGTTATAGCAGGTTGAAAAAACAAAATTGGACATAAAAGTAATTAAAGGAACATATTAAAAAGACAGTGGAGATAATAAACAACTAATGAACATTAATAAAAAAAATTGATTTATCCTGCCTTAGTCACCACATGAGATGAGATTAATTACTAAAGATACTGGAAGACAAGATAAGACATGATAAAAAGAGGATATCATGGGAAAAACTACATGACACCAGCTTGCAAGGATGTTGGGAAACAGACTTATGATGAGCTGAAGAGAGTCCCAGCAATTAGGGGTCAGTACAGGGGCAGGTACAGCAAATAACAGAGCTTTGGGAGAGAACTAAACAAGTTCCAGTGGAGCAAGAGATGAAGTAAAGATCCTGACATTTGGTAGGACACACGTTGAGAAAACCTGATAACAATATAGCTAGAATATCTTTGTACTGGAACCTTCAAAGGCACAGAAATAGAGAAAGACCAAAAAACACAGGGAAGGGAACCAGATAGTAAAGTTAAAAAGATGGGGAGGATATAGGATGAGATGCATGTAACAGTGAGTTTTGACATGAGTTGGTTGTTGGTCTATGCTCCACTGGGGGATATAAAGCATAAGAAAAAGAAGAGGGGTGAGACCATTGGACTTCAGTTCACGTGTTTGGACTGATCAATAATGAAGGTAGGGGGAATATCACAGCAGGGGACAAAAGTCATCTGAATCAGGTACTATCTTCATAACAATTGTTACAAAAGCTGGAAACATGACACTGAGAACATGAAATAATGAGCTGACAACTAAAATACTTCACCCTCACACAAACAGAATAGAGATTTCATTTATGAAACCGGCTAAAAACTGAGAAAATGTGAACAATAGAAGCAAAGGGAAGTAATATTAAAAGGTAGAAATTCACACTACATTGTGCAGAGTATTCCGCTCCTGATCCTAAAGGGCAGTAGAGAACAAATTAAACATTTCCAGTGTGGGTTCCATGGCCCCATTTTACATGAAAACAGAACAAACCAAATTCTGCTCGACAAGCATGTCCCACAAGGCAACTAATTCAGTTTTCTGCAATGAGATGTGTTGATCCAAAGGGTACAGATATTTCTGCCTGGCTGAAAACAATGCAGCATTCTAAACACTCTAAGAATGGTGATCACAGAAGAAGACGAAATAAAACATTGTCTTTTTATCAAAGATGGCTGAATGCAAACAATGCATACTTGAAGTATTGCTACACCATCAACTGTCCCCAGCACTCTCTTCAGTGAAGGACAGTGTAATCAATTCAATACCAAAGACAGTACAAACTTGGCCAACATATGTTCAGCCTGGCATCTGAAAACTATCAGGATGTTCTCCAATACCGTACACTGCTAGCATAGAAGCAATCTGGATTTTTCAAACATCAATCGAGACAAAGCTGTATGGTACACAAAGAGATTTGGAGGACAGAACAGCTTTCATAAGGGTACTGGCCTCCTAATAAAATTTTGCTGGTAAAAGGATGAAAAACCTACACCACATAATTGTGGAGAACAAAGTACACATAAACAAAGTAATCTTTATACCTCCAGTCAGAAGAGGAATGACTATAATTAAATGAATAAATGTAAAAGTCCTATATCATTTAGCTGATCATTCACCTTCATAGTCATTCTTTTCTTGTAGAAAATCTCTGCAGCCAGGGCGCCTCCAGCTCCCACGACTCCCAGGAACAAGAAGAGAAATGGGATGGCCATGTCTCTCATATCCATACTGGACGTAGTTCTGAAGGTGGTCAGTCCTGGCTTCTGAGGCACCAGTTTACTTTTATCATACTGAGGGCATGACTGCCGCTGCAGGAAGTATTTGGATATCAACTTATCAACGACTCCACTCTCATGCAGATCTATGATTGCCAGATTTATCCGATCCATCACAGGGGAATTTTTTGGAGCAGCCAGACCATATCTGAAACATGTCAGAAATAAAGGCATTCAATATTTTATCAATAATGACTTTCAAAGTTATGCCAGGCACCATTGGTGGTGGTGGTGGTGGTGGGGGGGGGGGGGGGAGAACAGATCCACTGTCCCTCTAACAAGCATGTCATAAAAGGCAACTAATTAGGGGTGTTTACCTTGAAGTGGAGCATGAGAGTCTGCATAAACATAAGCCAGATTTGTAACTCAGATGTGCATGTAAAACTCAATCACTGGAACAAGAACAAAGCCCAAAAGTGGAGCAACAATGAGGACTTTTTGCCAGAGTTTACAACCAGACAACGTTAACAAGAAGAAAACAAAATATAGAAATACAAGACATCCAATTTGCTCCGTACCTCAGAGGAGGCTAATTTAAAATGGGACCTGGGCTTCCTATTTGACGAAACTTACGATGGGTACCAAGAAATATTTTCCCGAAAGTAGAGCAGCTCATATGAAATTAATCACTTATCCATTTAATGCTTACCCGATTATTAAAAACATGGATCTCATACTGCATTGCGTTTATAAGTGGAACTGTGTCCTTGCATATATTTCTGATAAATTCATAGGCTTCTTGACATTTGTTAGTGAAAGCAAATGAATCTCTACGGTCTTTATTCTTTCAAATTCTTTACTGGGCGTTCCAGTGCAGCCATGCATATGGTAGACACTCTAGCACCCTTGGTTTGCTGAGCGTCTTGACAACAGATCACCCAAAACTTGTGGAGGAGAAATAATCAACCTAGCCTATAATCCCAGCCAGCCTATAATCCCAGCCAGCCTATAATCCCAGCCATCCTGCAATCTCAGCCATCCTGTAATCTCAGCCATCCTGTAATCTCAGCAATCCTGTAATCCCAGCCATCCTGTAATCTCAGCCATCCTGTAATCCCAGTCATCCTGTAATCCCAGCCAGCCTGTAATCCCAGCCAGCCTGTAATCCCAGCCAGCCTGTAATCTCAGTCATCCTGTAATCCCAGCCATCCTGTAATCTCAGCCATCCTGTAATCCCAGTCATCCTGTAATCCCAGCCAGCCTGTAATCACAGCCATCGTGTAATCCCAGCCAGCCTGTAATCACAGCCATCCTGTAATCCCAACCATCCAGTAATCCCAGTCATCCTCTAATCCCAGCCATCCTGTAATCCCAACCATCCTGTAATTCACCTCTACAACTAGTTCCAACCTGGATGCCAATTCAAGATTCCCTGATCAACCTCTCAGGAGGTTATAACTAGGCAACTGTGATGAAATATTACACTGGTGTGTCCAGCTGTCCAGCTATATGAGTTGTTTAACCCAAGCACTGTTTGGTAAGTGGTAGTACTACTGTTATCTGTGTGTTTTCAGTGGTAGTACTACTGTTATCAGTGTGTTTTCATTGATAGTACTACTGTTATCTGTGTGTTTTCAGTGGTAGTACTACTGTTATCTGTGTGTTGTCAGTGATAGTACTATTGTTATCTGTGTGTTGCCAGTGAAAGTACTACTGTTATCTGTGTGTTGTCAGTGATAGTACTACTGTTATCTGTGTGTTTTCAGTGATAGTACTACTATTATCTGTGTTTTCAGTGATAGTACTACTGTTATCTGTGTATTGTCAGTGGTTGCTCTTTTGTAGAATGAGAGCAGGTTCTGCACCATTGGGTGGTAGACTGATGCATGACAAGCTTGATGTTGTCAAAGCCCTTTGGGAGTGGGTGAGCACAACTACACACAAGGTGTGAAGAGAAGGGAGCAGCATGGAGTGACCAGAGGATCTGGTGGACACTTCACAATGAGTGACCAGGGGATCTGGTGGACACTTCACAATGAGTGACCAGGGGATCTGGTGGACACTTCTCAATAAGTGACCAGGGGATCTAGTGGACACTTCACAATGAGTGACCAGGGGATCTGGTGGACACTTCACAATGAGTGACCAGGGGATCTGGTGGACACTTCACAATGAGTGACCAGGGGATCTGGTGGACACTTCACAATGAGTGACCAGGGGATCTGGTGGACACTTCACAATGAGTGACCAGGGGATGCGGTGGACACTTCACAATCAGAAGAAAGGGAAGACAGACACACAATCAGACTACTACCATCAAAGTTGGAACTCTTTGCTTGCTGCTGAAGAGGGGGTTGGAACACTTATGGCAGTGTCCCAAGGGCAGGGATGTTGGTTCTTGAAATTCAGCTCACCAGAATGAGAGCTTTCTAGCAAGCCAATATGAGGCTCATCTCTTGATGTATTAGAACAACAATTTCAGTGACAATTTATGAAAGACAGAAAATATAATGTAACAGACATGTAACAGACATGCTGGTCTCTGCAGAATGATACTGTTGATCAGACAGCCAACAGAGGTGAAGGGTTTTGATTAGACAGCCAACAGAGGTGAAAAGTGTTGATTAGACAGCCAACATAGGTGAAGGGTGTTGATCAGACAGCCAACAGAGGTGAAAAGTGTTGATTAGACAGCCAACAGTGACTGGAGACTTAAGGACATAGTGTAACAAAATTAAGTTAGTAAAAACCCTTTACCACACCTACATATTGGGCATTTAGGGCAAGATCTTTATTTTATAGACCAAATGGCACTTGGTCAGTGATGCGACTAACATCAGACAAGTCACCTTCACTTCCCACGACTTTACCTGGTAACCATTAGGACTAGATTGCCTGGGAGACAAGGTCATTTGAAAAAAAAGTCTGGCAAGTCCGGCTCTTTTTGGATCAAACCCACGACTTCAAGGATACAGAGTAAAACGCACTTATTGTTCTTTAAAGTTTTGAAGTCAAAGAAAATTTGTTCTTATATCTAAAAATCATAACATAACTGAAGAACTAAGTGGCAGTCTTCTTCTTCTTCTTGTGTTCGCTTTCTGATTTACACCGACAGACAGGTTCTTGTGATAAACTTGACTGTTTTTATGAGTTCAGTTTTAGTCCCATACAACTTTTTGTACAGTGGTGATTCACTGGGCCAGTATTCCTTTCTTAATGGGCTGAACAAGGGACAGTCTTGCAGGACATGTTCTGTAGTCTGCACACAAAGCCCACAAGGGCAAAAAGGTGAACTACTTAGACGAAGCCTGTGCATATGCTGGTTAAGTTTGTTATGTCCTGTCCTGAGATGTAAGACAATGACCTGCCCATGCCGGTCAAGTAAGTGGTAGTCATCTCTGGCCAGACTCTGTTCACTTCTAATAGCCTGCATGGCCCTTTTCTTCTCATAGTATGTTACTGCATTCTCTTCCTGGTCACATTCTGCCCCTTTTTTAGCAAGTTTATCTGCGGTTTCGTTTCCTGGTATACCACAGTGGGATGGCACCCACTGGAGTACAGTACACTTTTGGGCAGCCACCTTGCCAAGTTCAGATCTCAAGTGAGGGAGTTTGCCACTCTTGAGGGCTTGAAGCACTGAAAGTGATTCTGTGAATATAACCACTTGGTGGCAGTCAGAACTGGTGTTGTGTAACATTTCGGCAGCCTGCTCTAGTGCTACAATCTCTGCTGTGTAGTTGGAACAGAATTTACCAGTGGGTATCCACTTTGTGTGGCGGAGGTTGCCTGGGTATGTAATAAAGACTCCAGCACCCCCATTTTTAACCGCACTGGTTGCTGATCCATCTGTGTAAACATGAGTGGCAGTCAAAGTTTAGAATCCCCTGACACTCACCCCAGTGAAGCCAACGATTCTCCATATGTGATCAGATCACAGTTGGTTGCGGTGATGTACTCGGCTTTTGCCGTTTCCATGATTAGTGCATACTTGCCGCCAGAATCCTTCACTCTCTGCACACCTGCAAGAACAAAATTACAATCTTTAACCCTGTAAACAACTGCAAGAATTGTACAACCATAACTCTTTATTCTCTACATTCCCTCAAGAAAAGCGCAATCACAATCCATCATTCTTTAAATAACCTCAAGAATAGTGCAATCACAATCCTTCATTAAATCCCATTTTCTGTTACTTTATTAAATACCCTCAACAGTAGTAATCACAATCTTTCACCCTGTAATACTTGCTATGTTACTAACATTGGATAAATAAAAAACCAACACAGAACTGGTGTCATGAGCCACTACACGCTGTGTGATTTTTAAGAAAGGGATCTTTGCATCTATGGACTGAATGGTTCAAGGTGCAATGAGGATATTCTGTCAACCAACTAACTTTGGATGTGTAACTTATAACCTGAGTTAATAGTTTCCAATCAATTGGATATGATTGTCAGAGATGTTGTAAAGTGTTACTTTGTGGGCCACAATGTTAGTTTTTAGTTGAAATAGTTTCCTGATAGTGTGACTGCAGTGGACCTTGTGGATATTGTAAGTTACACGTCTGTCAGCTAGAATATAGTGACTCTATCAGCTAGAATATAGTGACTCTATCAGCTAGAATATAGTGACTCTATCAGCTAGAATATAGTGACTCTATCAGCTAGAATATAGTGACTCCATCAGCTAGAATATAGTGACTCCATCAGCTAGAATATAGTGACTCCATCAGCTAGAATATAGTGACTCTATCAGCTAGAATATAGTGACTCTATCAGCTAGAATATAGTGACTCTATCAGCTAGAATATAGTGACTCTATCAGCTAGAATATAGTGACTCTATCAGCTAGATTATAGTGACTCTATCAGCTAGAATATAGTGACTCTATCAGCTAGAATATAGTGACTCTATCAGCTAGAATATAGTGACTCTATCAGCTAGAATATAGTGACTCTATCAGCTAGAATATAGTGACTCCATCAGCTAGAATATAGTGACTCCATCAGCTAGAATATAGTGACTCTATCAGCTAGAATATAGTGACTCTATCAGCTAGAATATAGTGACTCCATCAGCTAGAATATAGTGACTTGATCAGCTAGAATATAGTGACTCTATCAGCTAGAATATAGTGACTCTATCAGCTAGAATATAGTCTCTATCAACTAGAATATAGTGACTCCATCAGCTAGAATATAGTGAATCTATCAGCTAGAATATAATCTCTATCAACTAGAATATAGTGACTCCATCAGCTAGAATATAGTGACTATCAGCTAGAATATAGTGACTTCATCAGCTAGAATATGGTGACTCTATCAGCTAGAATAAAGTAACTTCATCAGCTAGAATATAGTGACTCTATCAGCTAGAATATAGTAACTTCATCAGCTAGAATATAGTGACTCTATCAGCTAGAATATAGTAACTTCATCAGCTAGAATATAGTGACTCTATCAGCTAGAATATAGTAACTTCATCAGCTAGAATATAGTAACTTCATCAGCTAGAATATAGTCTCTATCAACTAGAATATAGTGACTCTATCAGCTAGAATATAGTGACTTCATCAGCTAGAAAATAGTCTCTATCAACTAGAATATAGTGACTCTATCAGCTAGAATATAGTGACTTCATCAGCTAGAATATAGTCTCTATCAACTGGAATATAGTGACTCTATCAGCTAGAATATAGTCTCTATCAGCTAGAATATAGTGACTCTATCAGCTAGAATATAGTGACTCTATCAGCTAGAATATAGTGACTCTATCAGCTAGAATATAGTGACTTCATCAGCTAGAATATAGTCTCTATCAACTAGAATATAGTGACTCTATCAGCTAGAATATAGTGACTTCATCAGCTAGAAAATAGTCTCTATCAACTAGAATATAGTGACTCTATCAGCTAGAATATAGTGACTTCATCAGCTAGAATATAGTCTCTATCAACTGGAATATAGTGACTCTATCAGCTAGAATATAGTCTCTATCAGCTAGAATATAGTGACTCTATCAGCTAGAATATAGTGACTCTATCAGCTAGAATATAGTGACTCCATCAGCTAGAATATAGTGACTATCAGCTAGAATATAGTGACTTCATCAGCTAGAATATGGTGACTCTATCAGCTAGAATATAGTGACTCCATCAGCTAGAATATAGTGACTCTATCAGCTAGAATATAGTGACTCTATCAGCTAAAATATAGTGACTCTATCAGCTAGAATATAGTGATTCTATCAGCTAGAATATAGTCTCTATCAACTAGAATATAGTGACTCCATCAGCTAGAATATAGTAACTTCATCAGCTAGAATATAGTCTCTATCAACTAGAATATAGTGACTCTATCAGCTAGAATATAGTGACTTCATCAGCTAGAATATAGTCTCTATCAACTAGAATATAGTGACTATCTAACTTCATTCAGCTAAGAATATAGTGACTCTATCAGCTAGAATAGTGACTTATCAGTAGAATATAGTGACCCCCCCCTCTATCAGCTAGAATAGTAACTCTATCAGCTAGAATATAGTGACTCTATCAGCTAGAATATAGTGACTTGTATCACTAGAATATAGTGACTCTAGCAGCTAGAATATAGTAACTTCTCATCAATAAGTCTCTATCAATATAGTTAACTTCATCAGCTAGAATATAGTAAATACTTCATCATCAGCTAGAATATAGTCTCTATCAACTAGAATATAGTGACTCTATCAGCTAGAATATAGTGACTTCATCAGCTAGAATATAGTCTCTATCAACTAGAATATAGTGACTCTATCAGCTAGAATATAGTGACTTCATCAGCTAGAATATAGTGACTCTATCAGCTAGAATATAGTAACTTCATCAGCTAGAATATAGTCTCTATCAACTAGAATATAGTGACTCTATCAGCTAGAATATAGTCTCTATCAGCTAGAATATAGTGACTCTATCAGCTAGAATATAGTGACTCTATCAGCTAGAATATAGTCTCTATCAACTAGAATATAGTGACTCCATCAGCTAGAATATAGTGACTCTATCAGCTAGAATATAGTCTCTATCAACTAGAATATAGTGACTCTATCAGCTAGAATATAGTGACTTCATCAGCTAGAATATAGTGACTCTATCAGCTAGAATATAGTGACTCTATCAGCTAGAATATAATGACTCTATCAGCTAGAATATAGTGACTTCATCAGCTAGAATATAGTGACTTCATCAGCTAGAATATAGTGACTCTATCAGCTAGAATATAGTGACTCCATCAGCTAGAATATAGTGACTCTATCAGCTAGAATATAGTCTCTATCAACTAGAATATAGTGACTCCATCAGCTAGAATATAGTGACTATCAGCTAGAATATAGTTACTTCATCAGCTAGAATATGGTGACTCTATCAGCTAGAATATAGTGACTCCATCAGCTAGAATATAGTGACTCCATCAGCTAGAATATAGTGACTATCAGCTAGAATATAGTGACTTCATCGGCTAGAATATAGTGACTCTATCAGCTAGAATATAGTGACTCTATCAGCTAGAATATAGTCTCTATCAACTAGAATATAGTGACTCCATCAGCTAGAATATAGTAACTTCATCAGCTAGAATATAGTGACTTCATCAGCTAGAATATAGTGACTTCATCGGCTAGAATATAGTGACTCCATCAGCTAGAATATAGTGACTCTATCAGCTAGAATATAGTGACCCCATCAGCTAGAATATAGTGACTCCATCAGCTAGAATATAGTGACTCCATCAGCTAGAATATAGTGACTCCATCAGCTAGAATATAGTGACTTCATCAGCTAGAATATAATGACTCTATCAGCTAGAATATAGTGACTTCATCAGCTAGAATATAGTGACTCTATCAGCTAGAATATAGTGACTTCATCAGCTAGAATATAATGACTCTATCAGCTAGAATATAGTGACTCTATCAGCTAGAATATAATGACTCTATCAGCTAGAATATAGTGACTTCATCAGCTAGAATATAGTGACTCTATCAGCTAGAATATAGTGACTCTATCAGCTAGAATATAGTGACTCTATCAGCTAGAATATAATGACTCAAACATTAGCTGTGAGCTTTTCTTTAGTCCGTACCTTCATTCCTCTTCTGAATCCATTCCTGTGAGTCATCAATGTAGGCGTACAACTTGGAGAAAAGTGCATTGTGGGAAGATTTGCCAGATCTCAGTGTTGTGTAGACATGACCGTACTTCATCTGCTCGACAAACAAAAATAAAGGTCAGACATCCACATACAACTTCAGAAGTGCAACAGTTTTTAAGTATTCATTTAAAAGACAGTATTGTTATATGAAATGAGGTGGCTAACCCCTTTCCTGGATGATGTAAACTTTCCATCTCAGACGGAGATCTGGTACAGATAAGGTTCTGTGCAAAATGTAATCCCACAGTCACAGTTCATGATAACTCAGACCACATGAAGTATTCATAATTACGTGACATATCAAAATAACATGACTTATTATCAAATGACATCACAGTGAAATGACAAACTTTTATAAAGATGCTACCTACTGTCATAATGAGATGATGTAATACCATAGTGACATAACATATTATCAAAATTACATGACATATTATAACAGTGACATGACATATTATCATCATGAGATGATATGTTATCATAATCACATGACATATTATAATGACATAATATACAATCATGATGACATGACACATTATATGTGCTATTATCATGAAAATAAAATTGTACTTACAGCTCCCAGTTTGATGTGCTTGGACTCCACAATGTCCTCGACACTAGTGAACGGCACCTTCTGTGGGGTGGTCTCTCGTCGGACTGTCAGGATGGCACAGAGGCTGGCGGTGTAGCCCACCACCACAAACACAGTGAACATGAACCACATGCACATCAAGATGCGACCAGAGACGGATCTTGGGGCATCACGATAACCTAAACAGGGGATCGTATTTTAAATAAATTTACATATCACAGGTGACCCTATTTTGATTGTGAATTTATTATGTAATGTGTGAGAATATTTCAGACAAATTTATACTATAACAACTGAATCAGATTTTATAATCGTTACAGATACAACGGAAGATAAAAGAGAAGAGGAGGGGGAGAGGAAGATAAAGATAGAGAGAAAGTGTGAGATAAAGGGGGTGAGATTTAAAGGCAGTGAGAGAAACAGATGGGGAAAGAGAAAAGAGGAAAAATGGTGACAACAGACAGAAGAGGAGATAAGGTCACATCAAGATCGGTATCCATCTTCAATTACTAGTTAAATATTAGTAAATAAACAGATGGTATGTTTAGAGAAAGTAAAATGAAATAGTAATTGTCCACTTACCATCATGGTGCTCAAGAAAAACTTGATAAAATATATCCCAAATGAACATGAACCACTTATTAATAAGTATAAGCAAAATATAAACTCAATCTGTAAAACAGATCTTCTTCCAGAAAACTTCTGAAGCACCATAACAGAGCAGAATTATTTCTAAAGAGAACTGACTTCCCAAAACAATTAGTAACTTCACACAAAACAAAGTTTATATAACACTCAGTGTGACTGTCATTTTGTAGTTATGTTCCTAAATAATCAGTTGAATAGCACTAGAACTGACACTGAAGAAATTACCTTTTCATTAAGATTGATTCTTTCTGTGCCAGCTGACTTTGTTATTGTTGCACGCTTTGCTCAAGGCTCATATTAGAGTTATCCCTTATCAAAGTTTGACTTTAAATGACTGAAAAAAAGTCTACTTAACAACTTTCTCCATCTAACTTTGGATAAATGTGATGAACACATGATTTGTTCAAGTCTGAGGCTTCTAAATCCATAAATCATGATAGCCTGCATGTAGAATCCTGCTCAGCTGTCATTTTGTTTTCAAACAAACCTCGCAACCATGTTTCAAAATAAATCTCATCGTCAACACGTGTGCAATCAAGCACAAAGAACTGGAGAGGAAGTTTCAATTGTGTGGTTTGCATTTTTACACTGGTCAGTGGAAAATTAAAAATGTATGCCTCACGCACTGACTGGGTGGTTGGGCAGTAAACGATTAGCAAGTGATACATCCTTAGGACTCAAAGTGTTAATTATTTACAGCCAGTTCTATTTGCATCTGCACAGTGTTTAGGAGGCCCAGCTATACGCTTGCCAGAAATAACATTTAGGAGGGTTTTCTTGTGACTAAAAGGACTTTTTCAAAGCCTATCTGATGCTATAATTCGCTTGTAGCCTTAGTGTTAGAATTCTGAGGAGGTCACATGGTCATATTTGTCACCACATTCACTTTTTAGACCTCAGATCGACAAACAAAGAGTTAATTTCGTAATAAATTAATTCTTCAGCTGAAGCAATCCTTACCTTGCCAACTCAAGGTGCTGGCTGCAAATAAAAAGCTGTTTTTGATGCCAAAGTTGTTATGCGCCGAACGAGCATCTTTATCTTTTGTCATACGGGCCCATTCGTACGGACTGAATCTACCAATTAAGAACAGAGCTAGGCTGATGACAATAAAGGCAATGGCGATCATGACCCAAACTTCCGCTGCAAAAGGCTCCAGCATCAAATTGATGCCTCTTGTTGTTGGCGGTGGGTACTGAGGAGGGAAACAAATGTAAAATGGTAAGCAGTTTTTTACTACTCCATAGCAGTCCTTTATTTTCATGGACTTGAATGCCCTCAAATTTTGTCTGGACTGTATTACAAGTAAATCTTTCTTATTCATTTAAAAATAAAAGAAAAATTGCTATTACTGCCTGTGTTTATGTAGCCGTGGAAAGCATTGCCATGTAAAGACATAAAAAGCATGGAAAACATACTTATATTTTCTGCTAAACTTTTACAAGAGGGTACCTAAAGGTGGTGACTGAGAAACTTGCGGGTTCACCCCTGTACGTGAAACGTACAAAGAAATGCTAACGAAGTTTAGAAATCCCAGTCATAAATTCAGAAAAAAGGAGCTAACATGTCAGTAAACAAAAGTGCATATACATGAAGCTGGGTTTTTCCAAAGCGTACTAACCTCGTAGGCCATTTCCATGATTAGAGGGAAAGACACAGGTTAATGAACTTTGGTACACAAGAGAAATCAGAAGAGGAATTAAGGCAAAAGATCTTGTTGAATATACTTTGAGAAGAGATACATTGGGAACAAGTCTCATATGCTGCTGGAGTAGACAGATACGAGGGGACACTTGTGTGGACTGAAACCACAAGAATGACATTTGAGAGTGAAGAAATCACTCAGGTGACGAGTATACGATATCTAGAGAGTAGCTGGCTGAGATGTAGTAGTATGAGATTTGTGTCCAAGTACTGGGCAACAGCAAAGAAGGAGATTCTAGGAGTTACTTGTTACTTTATCGTTGAGTAGATCAAATTCTGCTATCAGTTGTAATTAATGGTAGGCTAATGTAATATTTGACAATCTAGAATACAATCTGGACATAAAGTATACTATGTCCTTCAACATCTACTAAAGTCAAAGTGTCTGTCTCGCAAAACCAAGATCAAAAAATATAAAACGCTGATAAGTTGTTTTATATGGCTCTGAAACTTGGAGCACAACTAAAAGAGATGAAGCCTCATTACAGGTTTTTGAAAACAGAGTCTTATGAGGTGCAAACAGCGGTGAATGGAGAGTGAGAAGCAACACTGAAATTCATAATTTGTTTAAATCACCGCTGATCACTGGCATCATGAGAGCTAATAGACTGATATAGTTGGGGCATATTGAAAGAATGTCAGAGAGCAGAGAAGTAAAAGCTGTATACACCAGGAAGATGAATGGTCATAGACCCCGAGGGAAATCAAGAAGACGATGGAAAGATAATATCCAGACAGACCTGCAAACACTTGGTGTTAACAACTGAAAAGAGAAGGCCAACCAGAGAGATGAATGGAGGCGGGTGATATCTGCAGCAATGAACCTCAAGGGCTCGGAATGCTGAAGAAAAAAAAGTTGTAATATTTGAGTTTTTTTAGTGTGAGTAGCGATGGGTCTCACTCTGTTTATAACTTGTTATAACATCTGGTGTATTAAGTTGTGTTTTAAGGTAATGTTTGTATAACAAGAGATACATGAATTTGTAATTCTGTCTTGAATAAACAGGATTGTTGGTTGTTATTGTTCTCTTCCATCGTTAGTTTGCTGAGTATAGGTGTTGTAACACTGCTTAGTTGTCGTAGTTGTTATACTACTATACCTAGATCAACCGTTACATAACAACTCTTTCAGACCACCACTATAACTTGATCGTCTTGGGTGTGGACCTATCTCTAAACTCCCCACATAAGAGAGCCTTTCATTCTCTCATTAATCCTTTAACTTTTATTCTAATCATCTGTCTCTCTCTACTTTTAATCTCCTTTTTTTTTCTCTATCCCTCCTTTAAACATAAACCCCCACCCAGTCACATTTACCCCTACTGTGTACGCATGGGGGTCTATGAGTCTGAGGATTTAGAGCTGCATGGCTAGAGCTGTCACCATCGACTTGCAGGTTAGGATTTCATTTTTCAACCTGACAGAAACAAAAGTTTTACCCTAACTGAGGACTAGAACATTGGTCTCATGCATGAGTGCTCAACATTCTTAATTGTTTTTCTTCTTTAAAAACCCTCTACAAATTCATATCATAACCGTTAGAGTTTACAATTTGGTTGGATTTTAAACATAATATTTCAACAGGATAACACCAACCAGGCTCGTGTAAAATCTCCTTGGCTGCCTCTTGATGAGTAGCATTGTTACTATTCCTTGGCTCCTTAATGAGCTCCGGTACACAGGCGCAGTGCTGCTTGCCTGTCAGTTACCAACAGTACTGAACGGATTCATTTGTTAAAGGTGAGAAAGTTAGCTTCATTGCACTGGGTTTGATCCCATAGGGTCCAGACCTGTCCCTAAAAGCAGCTGTTTACCTGTCAAGAGTATTCCACAAAGCAGAATCGTCTTCAGTAAACTTCCCTTATGAATTGAACTGAATTATGCATTGTGAACACAAACCCAGACCCATCAGAGCATGAAGCAAATGGCTAGAATACTTCTCATGGAGACCTCTATCCAAGTTACTTTCCCATTTGGAAGATCTCAGGGAGTCAGCAATTCAAACTTACACATTATATAGGACAAATTCAAGCTGAAGAACAAGAAAATCATTAACAAGTATCAACAGTTAAAAGACAAAGAAGATGGTACTGTATTGAAAATATCCTGAGAAGAATCAAGCAAATATGACCAAAGGAGCACCGAGATAGGAAACAAATGGACTGAGAAATTAATGATGTCCAACAGATAACTTAAAATGAACGTTTATCAAAAGGCTATAAGTGCTGCAGTGGATTCCTTTCATAACAATGAAAGAACTGCACAACATAGAAAAACAATTAAAGAACTGACTGGAAGGCCTGAGTGACATACAATGGCACATGATGATGGTGATAATAATGGATTCACAATAACGAAGTGGGGAAACCATAACAAGTGATAGTAACAGCAGAGTTTGGACAGCCATGGAAGACAAACCCTACATGAGAATGTCCACAGGTGTACTAATGCTGACTTTGACAACAAATAGTACAGACTCGGTAAGTCAAGACACAGTGTTGTCATGGTTACCTTAATAAGTAAACTGATACCACTTGTCATGAAAGGCTTTGTAAACTCCACATTTTCCAGCGAGCTCTGTTTGATGATCGGGATGGGTCCAACTGCTAGATCTGCCTGAAATATCCACACACAAATGAGTTTTTTGGGGAGGACAGTAAATCATAAAATATTTCAGCCTCATACATTTATTATTCATTAAACTTTTATTCTGTCTGTACTGTCCAGTATTTGATACTTTTAGGGCAGTGTAGGACTCGCGGGATGTCTTTGTGAAGAGGTTGTGAGGATTTCAGGCAGCATGGTTAGTGCAGCTGCCAGTAACGGTGCAGGTTAAGATTTTTATTTTGTCTCCCAAAAGAAAAATAAATCTCTTACTGACGTTTGAACCTGTGTCTCCCACATCATAGCCTAGTAATATAACCATCGAGCATCTGCTCTTTCTTTCATCCATGCAGAAAATGAAAACAACAACAACAAAATAATAGAAACTGATGTTATGGAAAGGAAGTTTCTTTCTTTGCTTGTGTATTCATTTATATATTTGGTTTCTTGCTTGTGTTAGTTTATATGTTCGTTTCTAAGGAAAGGTTTGGTCTGTAGTTGCAGTGGCCTGGCTAGATTGTTTTAGTATGCAGTGTCAAATGTAAATTGTACAAGAATGTATTAGCCGATGGTTGGGTAACTGGTAACTGGTGTGGGTAAAAAAAAACGAAAAAATTCTTGCCTCTTTCAACGGATGTCCTATAACCGGATGTGCTTAATCAAGATGTGTTTTGTTGTCTGGAGTGTTCTGTAATCAGATTTTCTGCTGGTGGCGATTTACATTCTGCTGCGGTTTTAACCATCTGTCAGCCCACAACGAAAATTGCTTGGCTTTTAAAAGGTAAATTCGTGTCTAGAAGACGAAGGTGAAGAAGGAGGTTTCTCCGAGGAGGTGGCGGGGTTGAGAAGAAATGGTGGCTAACATTGAAAAGGTTTTGTCAGAGGAAAAAGTTTCGGAGGGTTTTCGGTGTTTTCTGGGTCGGTTGTTTCCGTTTTGTTTCAGAATCCCTCATAGAAGACGTACAAGTAGCCCCCAGTACCTATTCAATTTTCCATAGAGGCTCAGAAACCAAGCCAGGTGCTTCTTCCCTTGGTGGTCCTGGTAGACGTAAGACACGTGATCTGTCAGTCGGATGTTGTACTTGAACTGCGCCTTGCCGGCCACCAGTGACAGCAGATCGATGGCCAGGCCCGAGAAGGTGATGTTGCCTGCGTTATTCCTCGCTGTCGTTACAAATGGCGCTTCCTGCACAAACAGCACATAAATAAAACCCTATTAGAAATGGATGAAGAAACAACCAGACGTGTGTGCAATGGGCGCTTATTAGATGTAAAACAGGCGGGGCTGTTTTTGTAATAAAGAAAAAAAAAAAGTACTGAAAATAAGAAAGAAACAAAAACTCATCATCATCATGTAGCAGGTCCTTTGCAGAACGTCGCTCTCATCACGGTCTGACTGAAAGAAACACAGTCTCTCGCCAGCTCTCCCGCATCATACACTTTCATACTCAAGGAGTCACTTATATCCTGTGCCCATCTTCGTGTCGGTCGGCCTCTGCCCCTCTTTCCTGGTACTATGCCTTCTGCTATAATTTTCTCCAATCCGTCTGGCGCTTGATATGACCAAAATATTTCAGCTTCCGAGACAGGATACTGTTTATTAGTGAATCTTCCTTGATGTTCAGATCTTTCAGAGGAAAGAAGAGACAGAACCGAAAGTGTCCATAAATATTATTATCGCTAACAATATGAACGGTATCACAAACGACCAATCGGTATTCAGTGTTGATTTTTTACCTCCCGATACATTTTCTTGATTTCTTGTTAGACTGAGTCGACCCGGCCACCCATGTCAAAGTTTACAAATCCATATTGGTCTGAATTCGATCTCAGTAAATGTATATTCCCCGTCCTTTTTAGGATGCAATTTTTCGTTATTTGAAGCCCTACTCTGGCTCTTGCCAGGGGCCGCAAAATGGCCTGGGGGCTGAACGCGGTTTCTGGGACCTCTCCACGGTGATCCTCATCCACATGGTGGCACATTGTGTCATCGGGTGTTTATCACTTGTGTGATGTCCTGGTGGGGTGGAAGGTCAGTCAGTCAGTCAGTCAGTCAATTCGATCTCAGTACCAGCAAGTCGGCATGCTAGCTTCATAGGCACAGTAAAGCCAAACAGTAGCATTATTGTCTCCAAGGCCCCTGGGTCTTCCCCGAGCGTCACTGTCGTGCGACCAACCAGTCGTCGTCGAGCGTTACCGGCACCCCAAGCTGCTATCTGAAGGTTTCATCCACCCTTAGAATGTGAGAATCTCATCGTGGATGTCAAAACCCCAAAATGGAAACTCATAGATATCCCGTTTAACTTGTAAACAAGTTAAAATTGGGGCAGCTGTGAGCCCCACGTCAGTCTGGTGTCGCCTGCAGTTACAGAAGTCGCTAATGAGGGTCTTGACCTTCACTGTGACCTTCACTGGGGTATTACCCAGATCTGAACTTTGGGGTCTGCAGTCCAGCCTAAACCAGGGAGGAGAAACAGCACCAATACAAGTGGGACACACGGGGATTTGAAGCCACTGGGCCGAGCTGCTTACAGATTACCATGTCCACCATAATTCAGAAATTAGCCGTCAGTTAAAACTCAGACGCCCCATCGTGCGATGATAGCAGCGGGTATAACATTTTTTTTTGTGGTCTCTCCCTGCCTCTCCTCCAACTGTCCTGGTGTCATGGTGTACTTCGACTTCCTCATTTTCATTTCGTGTCCAACTGTGTTTTGGAATCTTTCGCTGAGGATAGTTCTTTGCGGTGGTATGTGTGGATTGTGTGTTGCGAATTCGGTTTGTAATTCCGAGATACCCGCGCGCGATTTGGCAGCAGACCATATTGCGTTAATTTCGACACTGATTTTGAGAGCCGTTCAGTAATAAGGGACAATCTATTAATCGTATATTGTTTTAATTAAAGTAAGGTGTGGTGTTCATGTTTGTGCTCCCATTGTAGCAGTCGGGGTGTTCCATGATCAGGTGTGGTGTTCATGCTTGTGCTCCCATTGTAGCAGTCGGGGTTTTCCATGATCAGGTGTGGTGTTCATGCTTGTGCTCCCATTGTAGCAGTCGGGGTGTTCCATGATCAGGTGTGGTGTTCATGCTTGTGCTCCCATTGTAGCAGTCGGGGTGTTCCATGATCAGGTGTGGTGTTCATGCTTGTGCTCCATTGTAGTTGTTGTTGTTGTTGTTAGTCGGGGCCCCTGTTCCCCTTTGAATCCAGGTGTGGTTTTCATGCAATCACGTCGTGCTCCCCTTTGTAGCAGTCTCGGGGTAGTTCCATGATCACTGGTTTTTGGGCACTGAGTGTGTTTCATTTCTTAAGGGTAGCATCATACACTTTCATCTCAGGAGTGTTGGGCTGTATTCTGTTTGGGTGTCCATGATCGTGTGGCGTCATGTCTGAAGATGGTGCCTCCCTCTTGTTAGCAGTGTCCATTAGGATCCGGGCCAGACATGTCTATACACATCATTCAGTGTCTCCCATGGGTCTATTCAACCAAGGCTTGTGCTCTTATCATTGTTTTTTGCTTCGGAGGGTTGTCGCTGTAGTTGATTTTCTTGTTAGCTCCCTTCCTTGATCTGTCAGATCTTTCATTACCTGGAAAGCCGAGACAGAACCGAAATCCACTCCATCACTATCCTGATATTGTATGAGGTAATGCGTTCGATCACAGTGATGGCTATGTCCAGTTCTGCAGCGTTGAGTCGGATGCACCTCCGTGCTTGAAGCATTGAATCTTGGCTTCTTGCTTGTGCTCCAAAATTACAGTCTTTAGGTGTTACCGGTTTCCAGTGCAATTATTTCAGCTTCATACTGGAATCCATAATGGCATGCATCCAATTGTCAGTATCCATCGGTGTTTCCTTCATGTCAATGGTGTGGATGTTTTTCGTGGTTGTGGATGCTGTACTTTATCCCATTGTAGCAGTCGGGACTTCTGGAGCTTTAATGAGCAATGTGGTCGTATGTTTTCTTGCTACCAGAATTTCTGGCTCTTTCATGAGTGGTATCTGTATCCACATGGTGGCACATTGTGTCTTTAAACTGTTTTGCATTCCCCAGTTTTCTAACTAGAATGTCCCTGGGTGAAGGTCTTTCCAGCATCTTTCATAAATTTCTAAAGTGTGCTTCGATCCAGTGTAGCAAGTCGGGACATTTGCTAGTTTCACCATGCAGCAGTCAGGTGTAGACTGCATATTGCTCTCCAAGGGCATTATTTTGTGCTCCAAATTGTCTAGGTTAGGTGGGTGCGTTCAACCAGTGGATGTCGAGCGTATCACAATGCGAAACTCCAAGATGCTATCTGAAGGTTGTATTCAATGCTAATTGTGCAGCATTGTAGTCTGTCGTGGGTGGAGTCCATGATCAGGTGTGGTGTTCATGCTTGTGCTCCCATTGTAGCAGTCGGGGTGTTTCCATGATCAGGTGTGGTGTTCATGCTTGTGCTCCCATTGTAGCAGTCGGGGTGTTCCATGATCAGGTGTGGTTTCATGCTTGTGCTCCCATTGTAGCAGTCGGGGTGTTCCATGATCAGGTGTGGTGTTCATGCTTGTGCTCCCATTGTAGCAGTCGGGGTGTTTCATGATCAGGTGTGGACTGTTCAGCTTGTGCTCCCATTGTAGCAGTCGGGGTGTTCGATGATCAGCAGTGTGGTGTAACATGCTTGTGCTCTTGTTGTAGCAGTCGGGCTTCCATGATCAGGTGTGGTGTTCATGCTTGTGTCCCATTGTAGCAGTCGGGGTGTTCCATGATCAGGTGTGGTGTCCAACTTGTGCTCCCATTGTAGCAATCGGGTTTCCATGATCAGGTGTGGTTGTTCATGCTTGTGCTCCCATTGTAGCAGTCGGGTGTTGCGAATCAGGTGTGGTGTTCGAGCTTGTGCTCCCGATTGTATCCAGCAGTCGGGGTGTTCCATGATCAGGTGTGGTGTTCGTGCTTGTGCTCCCATTGTAGCAGTCGGGGTGTTTACGTAAAGTCAGGGGTGTTCGTTGCTTGTGCTGCTCCCATTTTAGCAGTCGGGGTGTTCCCATGACAGTCAGGTGTGGTGTTCAGTGCTTGTGCTCCCATTGTAGCAGTCGGGGTGTTCCATGATCAGGTGTGGTGTTCATGCTTGTGCTCCCATTGTAGCAGTCGGGGTGTTCCATGATCAGGTGTGGTGTTCATGCTTGTGCTCCCATTGTAGCAGTCGGGGTGTTCCATGATCAGGTGTGGTGTTCATGCTTGTGCTCCCATTGTAGCAGTCGGGGTGTTCCATGATCAGGTGTGGTGTTTCATGCTTGTGCTCCCATTGTAGCAGTCGGGGTGTTCCATGATCAGGTTTTTGGTGTTCATGCTTGTGCTCCCATTGTAGCAGTCGGGGTGTTCCGTGATGATCATATTGGTGTTCATGCTTGTGCTCCATTGTAGCAGTCGGGGTTTCATGATCAGGTTTGGTGTTCGTGCTTGTGCTCCTATTGTAGCAGTCGGGGTGTTCTATGATCGTGTTTGGTGTTCATGCTTGTGCTCCCATTGTAGCAGTCGGGGTGTTCTATGATCATGTTTGGTGTTCATGCTTGTGCTCCCATTGTAGCAGTCGGGGTGTTCCATGATCAGGTTTGGTGTTCATGCTTGTGCTCCCATTGTAGCAGTCGGGGTGTTCCATGATCAGGTGTGGTGTTCATGCTTGTGCTCCCATTGTAGCAGTCGGGGTGTTCCATGATCAGGTGTGGTGTTCATGATTGTGCTCCCATTGTAGCAGTCGGGGTGTTCCATGATCAGGTGTGGTGTTCATGCGTGTGCTCCCATTGTAGCAGTCGGGGTGTTCCGTGATCAGGTGTATCGGATTAGCTTGAATGCTGAGATCAGTGTGATTTAAAAGTAAGATATCTTAATCCAACAACAAAGTCTAAAGCACAATAAGAGGTGATTTTTACAGTGAACGGCGGCGAAGGACCAACAGGAACAATATGGAACTTCTAACACAAAGAGACAACGGCAAACGTACCAATCCATCCCAGAAAACGCGTAATTCTTGAACTGAACAACACCAGGGAGTGAGGCGTACCAAAATGATGTTTTATAGGTTCAATGCTGAGTATGCGAGCCGAAATGAATAAATGCTAAGCAATTCACCAAAAATGCAATATAAAGCAAATCATCCCTAACTTCCATTACACTTGCTCTCGATGAAGATTAGACTACAGATCTAGGGACAGCTA